GTTTCTCAGACAATAGCTAAGAGTTGATTCGACCGCAAAAAACCAATCAAGAATATTGGCTTCTCATGTTAGTTATTCATGAGGTTAAAGGTGCAGCGAGGAGCATGAGCTACCAATCATCGAGTTTGCTGATATGCAAAGGTATAATTGCAAAGGAAAAATAGTAATGTTGGGCATGTAATTACAAAAGCTAAAACATGTCATAAAAATTTTCACATTCTAATGTGTGCAAGTTTTTGAAGCTAAAGAGTGCCATATACTACTAAGACATTCTTGAGTGCAATATCATCATGGCCATAATGGCTCAAATGAACGCTTTACATGTAAGCATTCAATGTCATAAAAATAAAAGTTCCACATGGCTACCAAATCAACTGACCTGTTTGTTGCCATCAAAACCTTGATGTTCCCTCGAGCATCAAAACCATCAAGCTGATTCACAATTTCAAGCATTGTTCGCTGAACCTCATTGTCCCCACCAACCCCATCATCAAATCTGGCACCTCCTATTGCATCAACTTCATCAAAAAATACAATACATGCCTTCTTTGAACGGGCCATCTGAAGGAGAAGACACTTGTCAGATCATATCATGTTGTGGAAACAATAATTAGGCATTCTAGGAGGGATTATAGGCATTGACCTGAAATAGTTCACGAACCATCCGAGCACCCTCACCAACATATTTCTGAACTAGCTCACTTCCAATAACTCTTATAAAACAAGCATCTGTCCTATTGGCCACAGCCCTAGCTAAAAGGGTTTTGCCAGTTCCTGGTGGACCATAACAAAGAACACCTTTTGGAGGATCAATTCCAAGCTTGACGAATTTCTCAGGGTGAAGCATGGGAAGTTCCACCACCTAGAAGGGGGAACAGAAAAAAAGGAGTAAGTACAACACACTGTTTAACTTGTCTCCACTGTAAATTCAGGTAAAATTGGGAACTTGTCCACTACTTACTTCTCTCATCTTTTCAATCTGCTCCTTACAACCACCAACATCATTATATGTCACATCCGGTTTCTCCTCTACTGTCATCATGGTAACACTAGGATCAATTTTTGGAGGCAAGGGAATTTGAATCTGATATTTGTTTCTATCAACCCTGCAGTAAGATCACAGACTTTAGTTTATACAAAAAGTATAAAATATAGTAAAAAGCGCCTTTTCTGTCACTTTCTTCGGAATATTTCAACATACAGTCACCAATAGGGAACTCACCCAACACGCATTCCTTCCTCTATGTCAGTGGGGGAAACTTTGTCACCCAATCCAACAACAAACTATCATTCACAAAAGCTAAAGTTAGCAAGAGGACCCCAAAAAAAAAAAAAAAAAAATTAAAGCCCCCTCAACATACAAGCACTTACATAGCATAGTAAAAAAAAAAAATCTATCAGTAATTGATCTTTACCAACACTAAATGAAGCCTCACACAACCAAAAATACAATACAATAAATGCGTAAAAATGGTTAGGAATTGCTAAAAACATAGTTACCTTCGCAATCTGTTTAACATTGATTACATATTTAGCATCTTCAGAGTTTGGATTTATTATTTTGGTACATCTTGCCACCTGTTAGATAAAACATGAGTTAACAGCCAAAATAATGTCTTCAAAAACTATTAACAAAATTTACAAATACACTACCTGAAGAGGCTGCTCCTCCTGCATCATTTGCTTATCAGAAACAAGATCCCACTGGCTTGGTGCAGCTAAACCAGTATCAGACTCCTTGATTCCTATAAATAACTAGAGAATGTCAAAATCTAAATAAGTGTTCAAGTGCTATCCATGCCATTCAGTTAATCAGTAGAAACTGCAAAAAAGAAAGGCCTATAAAAAATATAAATAATTCAAACCATTGGCCATCACCTGCGGTTGATGACTGATGGCCACAAACTAAGGTGATGAAAAACACAAATTCAAAAATAAAGAAGTAAGAAATTCAGTAACAAGATAGACCACCACATTATAAAGAAAAATTACAGTAGATAGTTATTCACTGTTATAGACAATTATGATAGTCTATAAAACCAATAAAGAAATTTAGCAAGCTCCCAAACCCTGCAAGGAAAACAAATGAGATATTTACCACACAAGTCATTGACTTTCTTTGCCATTTCTTTGATCTCCTTTTCCACCTTTTTTATGCTTGTGGAGTAGGGTCCCAAACCCTGCAAGGAATAAAATCTACTGTAAAAATCCCTATATAACTTTATACATTTAAACATTAGGAATGAGATCATGAGAGACAACAAGCAATCAAAGGATATTAAAGGAGATCCGATATAAACATTCACTCTTCAGAATTTGTCATTGAATAATTATAAAGAAGAATTATCAGATAAATAAATGAGATCATCCACGAGCCACAGAAATTGTTTCCACGTCACGTAGGAAAGAAATTGCACAACATAGATACTTTATACAAAGCTATTGAACAAAAATCGCACTTCAGCAACTCAATTTCGACGATTGAGGAACAAGAATGCTTTTCAGTTGGCACAAACACCAATCGGGAAAACCCCGAGAACAGCACCTCAAGACTGAGTTTGATAAACTAACTTGATACCCCCTATAAGCTTCATATTCAAAATGTCGGCTGAGACAATAAAACTACCCTTCCTTTCAATTTACAGGCAAGGTTTTCAACTTCCCTCAGTTCTAATATCAATCGATTAAAACTTGAAATTTACAGGTTTTAACAGACCTACGATTCAGCTTCCAGCACAAAGCGTGACGAACAGAGTATATTTCGCCAAATACTAAATAATTACAGACCCAAATCCACTTTCCGTGGAACCCAATGGCACTAGAGCTGAACAAAATTAGACTACGATTCAGCAGGAACAACACTGAAACAGTTTCCAAACGATATCTAAAATTCATTCGAATATGCAGATCTGCACATCTTTTAAGAGTGAGAACAAGATGTGAGATTAGGGTTTTGGTGAAGAATTTACATAGGTTTTGAGCAGGGCGATGTCATCCTCGTCGAGGGGGCGGGGATTTTTCTCATCCTTGATATCGTCTTCGTGGTCGACTGCCATTTATCCTAACTATTCAGACTTCGACTTCTCCTCAGACAGAGATATGTACCTTCTCTGGTTTTCTTGAAAGAGAAGCGAATTCCTCAGGATTCATGAACATTTTCCCTTCAGCGTTTTTATACGAGCGAGAGGAGAAAGAAGAGAAGTCAAGAGACCAAAAAAAAAAAAAAAAGGTAATCATTCTTTTCGTCTTAAAAGAAATTTTTAATTTTAAAAAAAAAAGTGTAATCATTTACCAAAAACAATTAATTTTGCAGTCTGCATATTCATTTAATTTCATTTATGTGTCGAAGTGTTGGCCCCGCCAAAAAATATAAATACTTTGCAAAGTAATGGTATTCTTCTGATTTATGACCCGTTTGGAACAGCTTATAAGTAGTTTTTCAATAATAATTTACGGAATATGAGGTAAGTATATGAGAAAAATTTTATCTCAATTTACGTGAAATGTACTTATAACAAATTTCTTAAACCCTTTCAAACAAACACTTTCTATTGTTTATAGAATTGTGAAGAATATGACTTATAGTTAAATTCTATCCAATTCAATTCACAGGAGACGGGCCCAAAATTTTGTTTTGGGAAAATTTCACTGTAGGACCGCATAAAACAATTAATCTCAAAGAGCTCTCAAAACTTTCTGAAACCTCACTACAAGACCAAAAGGCCAATCTGATATTAATTCTACAAACGAAATGATGTCACTACCCTTAGCATCAGGTGAACCAGTCCACATGTGAATGGACTGATTCCACGTGTGAATATATGTATTTCTTTTGCAAATTGGCTAGTTCCCCTTGCAAATGCGATCCCCCGCACTTGTTCCCTCATGGACACATGCTTCAGGTGAACCAGTCCACATGTGAACGGACTGATTCCAAGTGTAAATATATGTATTTATTCTACAAATTGGCTAGTTCCCCTTGCAAATGCGCTCTCCCGTACTTGTTCCCTCATGGATGCATGCATCAGGTGAACCAGTCCACATGTGAACGAACTGATTTCACGTGTAAATATATGTATTTCTTCTGCAAATTGGCTAGTTCCCCTTGCAAATGCGCTCTCCCGCACTTGTTCCCTCACAGACCCATGCATCAGGTGAACCAGTCCACATGTGAACGGACTGATTCCATATGTGAATATATGTATTTATTCTGCAAATTGGCTAGTTCCCCTTGCAAATGCGCTCTCCCGCACTTGTTCTCTCAAGGAAATAAGTTTCTACTAGGGGCAGTGGCGTCATTTCGTTTGTGGAATTAATATCAGATTGGCCCCTTAGTCCTGCAGTGAGGTTTCAGAAAGTTTTGGAGGCTCTTTGAGATTAATTGTCTTCTGCGGTCCTACAGTGAAATTTTCCCTCTTGTTTTTGTTCGCTTTTTCATAATATTCTTGCAAAACTAATCTCTTTTTGATAGGCATTATAAGATATTCCCTTAATCATACTATAAGTTACTTAGAAGAATAGTTGTGATATTTTTTCTTTATAAGATATAATATTGATTATTTATTAGTTCGCAAAAAACTATTGATTATTTATCATGATTTTTCCACTTGCCCTTGATAAATGTTGGTGTATGAAAGTAGAAAGCTTTGGCTAATGATGTATTTCATATAAGCAAAGTAGGAAATTTGTTTAATTTTTTTGATAGAATCGTTCAGTTTTAAGTTTTTTTCATTTGGTAAAAAAATTTAAAAAATAACTTATAAATAGGATCCGTAACAAAGACAAATGCAAAAGTTCAGATTAACGTTTGCAAAAATAGCTTAACAAGAGTCATTAAATTCACAAGAGGTTGCAGGAACATCTACAATGATAATGCTTGCAACGATCCCCCCCCCCCCAAAAAAAAATCAACCAAGTTATGCACAGCATGACGAGGCACTTCCAAGAGATGAAAGGGGGACAAAACTTCCATTGAAAAACATAGTGAGAAATACTGAAACTTGAAAGAACTTGAATGTTTTTATCTTTCATTCATCATACACCTCAATCATCTGTAGCTCAACCAGTTTCCCAAGTCCTACTGAAGCCCAAATCCAACAAGTGAAGGTTGAATGCCTATATTACAAAATTCCATGGCTTTATGGGAGGCATTAAAACATAGTCAGCGGAACTCTTGTAGCTCCAAAAGATAGAGAAGAAAAAAGAAATCTGAACAAAGGATTTGTGGGGAAAAACAAATGAATTCCAATGGAAATGCCAATGTAATACTGTTGCATTAAATATAGTAGCTAACCAAGCTTCCTGTATTTTATGACATCATTGGTGTCCAAGTCATAGATCTTGCAAATTCTCTTGATGGCAGTTTGACTAAGACCATCTTCATCTTCATCACGACGGGCTAGACTCTCAAGTTCCACAGATGGCTTCAATACCTACTCCGGACAAGATGAACAAACAATAGTCAGATGCAGGAGGGACAAAACAAACAGTCTTTGCGCATTGATGAGCAAAGAGAAATTCTTAGGCGCCCTAAAGTGCATATACATGCAATGGCTAGGATTAAATTTCAAATCGGATCAGATTGTGGGGACCAAATCTTGCCATTACATGTAAATACACTAGAGTACCTGGGAGTTTCTCAAAAACAGAAAGGACATTGCCTGCATGGAGCCAAGAGTACCAGTGAAAAACAGTTAGGGTAGCTAAGCCAGTTTATTGTGAAATTGCCTTTTTGCACAGAGAGAGTAATGAAGCAAGTTCTTAGTGAAAGACGGGGGAGATTTAGGTATGCAGAAAAGATTGCGTTGACACGGGTTTCAAATCAAACTTTTTCGGAAGTTCATCCTCACATCTATAACATATACATTATCATAAACAGAAATAAAGGATATGCCAAAAGCTTGAGATAATATGGGTTCTCACTTTCTAATATAAAATCAATGGGGTATTGACTCATTTAAGAATTCACTAATCCAAAGAAAGGCCATGCATGCAATATAATTAAACAGTTTATTTCAATCCAACCATAGAATCCCTTTCACAGCCCAGTGTCCCTACCAAAATCAGAGTAACATATAGAAACATTTACCCAATATGGCTCAGGTGAATTATGGTTTTCACTTCTAGAGTCCTTTTGCTCGATTTCCTTCTTATTGATAGAAGATTCCGAGACTAGTCGAAAAAGCCTCTCACTTCCCTATGAATAATAATATGAAACAAAATAGAAACTTATGTACAATTGAAGAGAAAGACAAATAATCAAAGTTCCAAACATAATATGAAAAAGATTAAGGACTACAAAAGATACCATCCTACTGGAAAGTCACTCCCGATCAAATCAAATCATGGGCTTAAATAATCATGCGATTCAGTGCTAGTTCATGTATTGAAAAAGTGACTATCTACATGCGCCAATTAGATTTCTAGAGTCCCAGCCAACAAGCCTATCAGTCTGTATTTGCAAAGACTTTCAAGATTGAAGTATCAGTTTTAGAGCATATAGGAAATGAAATTTTGTTATATAAATTTCATTGTTGCCACATGGTTTTACTGTTCAAAGCAGTGGCCACCACCCTATGACAGTATGAGAGTTTGACAACAAAAATGCAATGCCAAGTAAGTAGATGTCCTTGATTGTGACGATCATTTTGCAATATCACGAGTGATAGCAAAGGGAAAATGAAAATACACAACTACTATACAAACTTTGCATCTGTATGATCGGCCCCAGGAAAACAACTGTATGCACCTGAAGGGCTCTCCAATGAGAATAAGCTCGAAATAAATTCCAGAAGAACGGGACATTAGGCATAGGTAAAACCTGCATGATATATACGGTAATACATTGGAGCAGAAAAGTTAATAAATTTTAGAAGAGCACAAATGCACCATATTGAACCTCCTTGCAAAGCAGTATTATTGATAGTAAAAATTACAAAACACATACGTACGGCAAGGGAAGAGGTCAGTGGAAGCATTGAAACTGAACCATACAAGTATTTCTTGTGGATGATTGTTCCTCTGTAAATATAAAACAACTCATCAATATGACAACCTCACTTACACTTGAAATTGAACAAAAAAAGCCAGAAGAACACACTTCAAATTAACCTATAAAACTTCAATCAATTTGTTGAAGCTATACAAGAGTCAGAGAATGATGTTTCATCTAGAAAAAAGAATCAAACAGAGATGTCTCAAGACCAAACACATAATTGAACTTAGAGAACTCTTTGGATAACTATGCAGTAAATAATTCTGACATATGCCTCTTCCATTCTGCCACTTAGCATACCCGGACAGCAGGGGCAGATTAATTGAGAAAATGAAACCATCACTTGACAATACGACAAAGACTATATAGCACAACACCACCTGACAACAATAATAATCATGGACTAGTAGAATTGTAAAAGGCAGATATAATCTGCTTGTACCACGATGGAATTACATTCCAATTTTTGTTACGGGCAGGTAAAAAGGATCCCTCAAAAGAACAATATAAAAGATGCTTATGCGCAACCTCAGCCGCACAGATTAATGAGCTGCTCAGTGAAGAGAATTGCACTGCTTACATTACTCTCACATTTATATATATCGGGCCACCTAAGTTCAAGTGCCCTTGCATTCAGAATATATTGCAAAAGTAGTCTAGGAATACTGCAATGGGTAGCATCAACTCCATTTAGGAGTTGTAAGAACCACAAGTGGCCAGAGGCCTATAACTCGGAACTTTAAAAAAACAACGATCAAATAATAAGGTCCAAGCAAGATGAGATTAACATAAAAAGTGACAAGTTCAACGTCATGATTAGGCCAAGAAAAATACCTCATGGCCACATGCCTTAGTCTTCGGCGAACAAGTCGAGCATCCAAACTGCAAAAATTTTTCCACTATTATAACACCTAAAAGAAGCAAACCTATATCTAAGTTTTCTGCTTCCTCATCAAGAAATAAGTGGAAACTACACGAAGGAATTATATCCCGAGTGGCAACCTAGAAATAACTTAATAGATCACCAAGGCACCGACCTAGATGGGTAAATCACTTCAACCCGAGTAATGTCCTTTGTTATAGATCTTAAAAATATCTCAGACGGCTTAACCCGCGACAAAAGCCGTAAGCCCAATCTGCAAGAAGTCAAAATTACAATTGTTACCAAAGAATTTTTTTTAACATCTGCAACCTTATAGCGACAGCTAAACTGCAATACTTACCCATGAACCTTATTTTTAAAACTTCCTTCTGGTGCCTTTTCCAATCCAATCCAAGCTTTATTCATCTTCAGCCAACAACCAAATTTAGTCATCGGTAGACATCAGGCACGGGATAAAGATAAGAAAATTGCGAAACAAAAAGGGAATTAACAACGAAAATGAACTGAATACAATGAAAGCCACCTTGTTGGCCACGAAGTCTACCAAAAGCTCGGCATTGGCGCTAAAGGATTTACCACTGATAGAAACGTTTTCGCGGAGCTCTTTGAATGTAGTAGCCTGAGAGGAAGCCTCAGAGACCGAAACGGACGGGTCAGCGGATCGGCTAAAGCACCAGATCCTACCTCGTATTGGGAACACAACCAATCTGGCTCTCATGATACAGCCCAAATGCGAAGGTCTTTTGGCCGCAAAACCCTAGAAAGAGACACAGCAGAATGCAGAGCGGTTTTCTAAAGTAAGAATAATATTATCCGTTAAGAACTTAAGATCCAGTCTCTTGACTTGGTAACGATTGTAGTACTCTGTGTATATTCCAAACGTCAAATCAAGTATAGAATCTCCTGTGGGAGTGTAAAGGGGTCTATGATTTTTAGAGCAAGCAACGGAAATGTAACGACTTTGTGAGCTGGGGTCGAGTTTTCCCGGCTGAAAGTAACGAAGCAGAAGAAGAGAGGAAGGAAAGAAAGACGAAGAAGGCGTAAAAAGCGACGCACTTTGGCTTGGCCCGCACACAATACACACGAACACGGACACAGCAAGATGCGAAGAATAGAGGGTGAGAAAGCAAGATAGAAGAGAAGGAAGCGCATGCGATTGCGGGTTGTGAGAGAAACCGAGTCAGCTTCACACTATGAAGTAGTATTACCGAGGCTCTTGGCTGTCGTCGCTGGTTGTAACTTGCAGAACAGGATTCAGTTTCTCTTTTTCAGGAAAATTATACATTTTCATCCGTTTCATATCTTTTTTTTTCTTTTTTCTTTTTTTTACCCGAATTTTCTTTTTTCTTTTAAAGTTCAGGAAAATTTAGTTAGGAGGAATTACAATCAAATTCCATAAAAGAAAAATAATTACCAAAAAGTCTCAATAACAACCTTAACAGTCTATAATGACAAGTTTTATAGTAAAAATAACAATTTCTGGAATTTGATTTTTAATTGTTTTTCTTGTTTGAGACCTCATTATAATTCTCCTATTTAGTTAATGTGCTCGGTTGGTTTTTTTTTTGGCCGCTTATGCATTCATTAAGTTGGTATTGTGTCTCGTGATCCAAAAATTTATTCACAGGAATATTTACACATATACGACTCACTTTTTTGGATTCATGCTATATTTACATTTGAAAATCGTTCACTTTTACAAATATTTTAGCTAAATTTCTATTCATAGCAATCTGTTTGTTTTCTGTTAAATTCATTAATAAAGCTAAATTATGCTATCTTATTACTCTTTTTATCCTAAACATGAGACCTTTATATATATTAATATAAAAATCTTATATTTAGAAGCTGATGAATACCTTTTAATCGTGGAAGAGTATAAGATTACAGTTCTAAAGGAAAAGTAGCGTCACTTACAGCTAAACATAAAATAACCTAAACACGATAGTATAAAGGCACACATTAGGCGTCAGGCCAGGCAAAAAGAAAAAGATGGCATCATGCAAATTATAACTAAGTGACAGGCTTCATAAAATACGAGAAAAATTATCGGTTGCATCTATTTGTTTTGTTACTGACGAGCAGTCCTCACTGGCAATTGTGCGCGCGCTCGCGTGCGTCCCTGTCGAGCTTTTGAACAGAAGCAGGTCAATGCCAAATTTGACCAGCTCATTTAACTTTATCACAAGCATTTTAACACTTCGTATATGAATTAAGCAATCTACGTATCCATCTAATAATGTAAAATTTGCAAGAATTAGGTCCACAAAGGGGCCTGTGGAACATGAAAAGCCGCATCAGATAGTATTTCTATTTCTTCCCATATAAACTTAAGCGATTAAAATTGAAAAAGTGGATTACCGCTAACACGACATGTATTATGAACAGGGAAAATACAGCCATTCAGTATTTTTCCTAATTAATTATTCTCTCTTCTTCTCTTCATTAGGAGAAGATTAGAGAGGAAGGATAGCAGAGAAACCAAAACTCGTTTAATATGCATCATAAATTTCATTTAAATGTATATATGGACTATAGTTAACCTCTTTTTACTTGAGATGGGAGAGATGCACCTATTCTTATACCTCATTCAACTTGCATGCTATACAAAAAGATATGGTCTATATTTTATGAAACCTCAAATAGGGTTTGTACAATATGCTGAGAAACAATTTAGGGGAGGCCATTGTCCATGGTTATATTCCACCATCCTTTCTTCTTTGCGATACAAGATTAAGAGTTTTCCATATACTTTTCCTTCTTTCCACTGGCCTCCTTTTCTGTAGCAGTTGGACTCTGTAAGGTACAACAGTTAATAAACAATCAAAATATTTTGCCCATTACAGCAATTTGACTTTTCATAATACATTCAAAATTTAGGAAAAAATTGGTGAATATCCATCTCTCTCTCCTCATGTCAAAAGTAAGAACACAGGAACAATTTTTTGTATATTTTTTATAGCATTGCTAACCCTATCTACCCAACATTTGTACCAAATATAGAAAATCATGTGTACGATTTAAGTAAATGTCCTCAAAATATGGACTATCAGAAATTTTTGGTCCACTAACTGAACAACTTCTGTTTAGGGTGAAAAAAATTTAATAGCATCATCATCAATCATATTTATACTTTAAAGTAACTAATTTATTGAATTCCATATAAGTAAATGTTTAGCAGAATGCATTAATAGCAACCAACTAACAAGAAAATTATGTATTTGAGCAATCAAATGAAATCTACCCTATTAAGGGGACAAGTAGAGAAGCAAAACAAAATGCAGAGTTAAGATGGGAAGAATAAGATACTTACATAGGGCTGCGTGGGAGCTAGTGAAAGTTAATAAGGGGGAGTGCCACAAGAGGAAGGGTCATATTTGGGAGGGACCTCGTTGAGGTTGATGAGAGGGGGATTGTAAGAGGCAGTTTTTTGGGAAGGTGAGGTTGCCAATGGTGGCGAAAGAAGAGGAGGGACGGACATGGTGACATGGGTTAAAGTGGTAGCGCTGATCGGGCGTCTCTCTGCCAATGGCTTGAAAAAGGAGGATGGCTTAGACCATGGAGGTGGCTCAGGGAAGGAAGAAGAGGAAGCAGAGGATGGAGTTGGGACCCCCATATGATCATCGAGCTGGACCACATCTTGTGGAGACATGATGGCCATCTTTGGCCATATGAAGGTCCCCTGAGGCTTGCAAATTTGAAATCCACTTTTCAGCCTTTCAATTTTTGCTGCCCTGTCTTCGGTAGCTGCCCACCTACTTTCTGCAATCCTTTGTATGTCCTCACTTGGTCTTTCTACTTCACCTGCTGTTGCTTTGATTTCACTATTTTTATGTCCTTCTTGCTCTTTTGTCTCTCCCCAATTTTCCACTGCAACTAGTACTTTTGTTGGTGTTGGCAATAATGTTGGGGGTATCGCTGATTTGGATTTTGGCTCCTCTCTTGACTTTAACATCACTATCTGTTCCTGCGTCATGTTCCCTCTTTATAGGACTTTATAAGACTAAATGACTAGAAAGTAGATCATTTTTGCCATGATGCTAAAACACGAGTAAAATTAAAACATACTTCAGACACACACACAAAGAATTCTATGAACTAAATTTTTTCCTTGCTTGTCAGAGACTCAGAGAAAGTAAATAGGCGTTTCTACTGTCTAATAGGATGATGGAGGTTAATATTTACAAAGCTTCATCCCTAGGCCAAATAAAGTATTTATAGGGACTACATACTAAAAAAATTTGAAAATATATGGGGACTGCACACTAAAAATTTAACTTCAAAACTTGGTCAGTCTAATGCCCACCCATCAACAGAGGTTTCGAAAAAACTAAAGCAAACTTCGTTTTAAGAAGCAACAAAGGACTATGCTATAAATATCAATTACCTCCATATCGCTCAAAGTTATGGAAATATCCTTTAGTTGTTCTTCAATTTTAGATTTCTTATTCACCAACTCTTTATATATCTCCTGCGATATAGCCATTTGCATAAATACTTATAACAGGATTAGACAAATCATAGGGACTTTCCAGTCCAGAACCAAGCGCAACATCAAGCTTCAGGTTTAACTTCATAAATATTACCTGCACTGTAACCAAGGAACCACCTTTTTCCAAATTGATATTATTTGACAAACAAGAATTCGCTGTAGTCACAATAGCCAATTCTTCCTCGCTCTTCTTGGATACCAATTGTTGCATCTCACTATTTGTAACACAAAGAGGATAGTATATTAATATTTGAGTAATATATGCGAATAAAGTTGAGTCTCAACTATATCCTTATAACATGAAAAGCATGGCTATGTACTCGTACTATTGCAAAGATGGAATGGTCAAATAGTTAAGAACTAAGGATTACCGTTTCAGTTTAGACATTTCTTCTTTTATCTCGCGAAGTTCTCTTGCACAAATGGGATCCTGGGAAGGGTTGTCCCCAAGTTTCCATCCAGGGGGTGGAGTCCAATAGGGATCTTGAACCCCTGCTTCCTGTCTAATTTTAACCAAATCAGCACTCTCCAACCAATATTCCATCGCTCCCTCAGCATTGTGTCGCCGTCGAAATCTCTCAGTTCCGCCAGGAGCCACTTTTCCTGCCATGTGCTTTAGCAAATGATCCAATAAACCCGTATCACCTATCAGCTTTCGAGCCTCTGATCTCAAGGCTGGCCTCAATATTGGTTTTTCAAAAACTGCTCCTTTAGCTTTCATCACCTTCAGCATGTTCTCCTCTGCTAACTTATACCTTCAAATACACAAGTTATCATTATAGATTGCAACAATGTAAAATTGCAGAGAAGCTTCTGAATGATCAATCACTATATAAGTTTACAAAATTATTAACATTTTCGGAATAATAAGCAAAGTATAATTAGGTTTACCTCTCGGCAGACCATCTGTCAATTGAAATTTTATGCTTCTTTTTGTTGTATACTACCAGTTGATTCTGCCTACCATGCTGTGCTTTCTTCAATCTCTGAAGCTCACTACATTGATTTTGATTTCTCTCACTTTTACGAGTCGTCCTGATTTCACTTGACACTTCCTTTGTAAGCTCGTTTTCTTCACATTTCTTTCTCTTTCTACCAGTCATTTGCTCTCTTTCATTTTGTTCTTTTACATCAAACCCAGTGTCATTCCCAGAACCTGATAAAGATTCTGAACTTTTCTTCTTATGCTGGCCTAAGAATCGAACTGATCGACGCTTACCCCACTGCATCATCCCAGAATACTTGAGCTGAGACCAACACGAACCCTTCTTGGAAACCGGATCCATTTCCTCATCAATGAACAGAGGGCTTTTGCTCGTTTGATTTTCTTCAGAGGTTGTAATCCAGAAACTCCACGAGTTTCCTCTTTCGGCTAACTCCTCCGTCGAGACTCTCCTGTATAGCGCATTACTAGCAAATCCTGATTCCATCATATACTTCTCGTCAAGCGCAGGGATCTTTTTTTTGCCTGGTTTCCCATCGTCCGCATCGTTGAACTGTACGCGTAGAGACTGCATGCTTGGGTACCTAACTGACACTTGAAGCTTTCCCATATCACTGAGCTGAATCCGCTCGTCAAGAAAAGCAAACGACATAAAGGTTTTATTTTTATACAGTAGAACATTTACAAAGAAAGGTGATGAGGTTATTAGAAGCCATACCATGACAACACGGACAGACCTTAAATGA